TTAAAAAATATTACTAGCGAGGACACATTAACCACAAGTTTGAAAAATGCTGATACCAGACAAATGAGTTCTGGTTCCAACGTTTTCATAAGCGAATTAACAATTGATAATGCCGCTAAACGAAATGTAATTGATTTCTTCGTAAATAAATTAAAGACGAATGTAGAAAGTGTGGTTAGTCCAACACCAAAGAAAGAGAAATACGGCCTAAGTAACTTTAATATGGAGAAGTTTTAACTTCCGAAGAGGTTTTAGAACGACTGCGTCAAGAAGAAGAAAGAAGAAAAAGTTAAGTTACAAATGAAAAACAGGCAAAGAAGATAAAACTCCACAAACTAAAACAAAGAAAAAGGTTCTAAAGAAAAATATTTCGGAAAGCGAATCTGATACCAACGAAGATTTGGAAAAAGAAATGCAAGAGAGTATGAAACAGAGCGATAATAATATAAGCTTGAATTATGATACCGACGATGACACACACGACTGGAAATTTTTTAACAGGAGATGTAAGTTCGTCGCAGAAAAATACGATTGGATTAGGCGAGAAAAAGCGCAGCTCGAAGGACAGATGGCAACAGATAAGCCGTAATCTAGTAATATTTCCCTGCATAATCCCATCCCCTAATATGCTGCAATGATAGTTGCCAAGCTTTACTTAATCGTTATTTTACAGTAACCACTTTGAAAACATGGTATGTGGGTCTGATATCGGAAATTGTTTCCGATAAAGAAGTGTAAATGACATTTTTAGATCGACTAGGAAATTCTTTTAGATGACCAATGCATCTGAAGATTGAGAGTGTAGCGGTAGAATCAATTATAATGGAGGTATTTCCAGAAGGCAAAAATCCCGTAATATTATACCCTTCTATTAAGGACATCGAAGAAGCCTGGAAAGAGTGAAGTTTTCGCACACATAGTATTGTTTTTATTAAATTTGTTCGTTTTCAATTAAGTTGATCAATAAGACCGTCCGCACATTGGTCGATCGAAGCCACGCGTCTAAGTTCATGTGTAGTGCTCGTCTTATGTGAACCCTGCGGCATGAGCGATTGTCCACCTCACACTAGTCGATTCAGTTTTCTGTTTGCTCACATCTGCCAACCAGGAAGAACGCATCTTTTATATATCGATATTGGCCTATTCTTTCATTGTATAATTATACAATTGAGAGTATTTTTACACTTCCCCAGCGAATTTTATATTAAACACCTAGAAACAAAAATTCAATGTTTTCCGAACTTTAAATTACAAACAATATATTTCTACAAAGCTAGTAGTACTACAAACAACGAACATAATATTCGTCGATCTTAAAAAAATATTTTAGAGCAAAAAACAATAAAAAACGAAGAAAGCAAATGCAATAATTTAATTCCCATGACTGAAAACGTGCGTCTCACTCGAACTTTCTCGTGCACTACCAATCGCATATGACGAGACTCCTACAAGGCAATTCTAGATGACCACTAATCGCCCCGTCTGCGGAGCTCAATGCAATAGCGAAGGAACTTTGGCGTGAAGAGAGACCTATGCGATTGAAATCGAGTCGACCAGTTCGAGCGTCGACCCATGTGCGGACGGCCTTAGTTGACAATGTACCGTTTAATTTCTAAATAAACTAGTAAGAGAAATGATCGATTTTATTATTTTTTTATGTGCATTAAATGATAAGCTTTTGTCTTCATTTACCCATTTTATTTTATTGGTGAGTTAAATTGGGGAAAAATTGCAGTCTTCATTTACACCGTACATTGGGGTAAATGAGGACATTTAAATTATTTAAATTAAGATTAAAAATTAATTATAGAGTACTTGCTTTACACAAATATATGTTAAAAGTCATAATTTCTTAAAGGATCATCTCTCCTCGATCACATAAAAATATACGAAAAATTTATTCACACTAATTGTTCCCAAAATATCTTAATATATTTGAAATTGAGGTAAGTGTCCCCCATTATCCCTACTGACCTTAAATAAAATCTTTACAACCAAAAATGTAAACTTTTAGAATTTACTTATCAAACTAAAAAGTGAAAAATATGTCGTGTATAATAACTACGGATCTCAAACTAAAACCTGTGCTAAAACTACCGTTTATGAGTGGTAGGCGTCGGTATGTTTCGGACACCGCTAATTACTATGTTGTCAAGTCTTTTAGTTGTAAGTAAATCTCAGTGCGTCAACCAATCTGGAGAGTCAACCAGTCCCGCTCTTCCCTATTGAGCTAAAAGTCATCATCATCCGTTTTGAGTCCACTGCTGGACATAGGCCTCCCGTAAATAATTCCAATGCATTATATCTTGAGCACCCTGAATCCAGTTGTGCTAAATGCGCTTGATGGCATCTGACCACCTTGTTGGAGGACGTCCTCGATTACGATAAGCATCGCGTCTAGGTCTCCAATCCAGAATTTTCTTCGTCCATCTTCCATCTTTTAATCTTAGAACATGCCCCTCCCAGTTCCATTTCAATGTTGTAATCCTTCGAACTGCGTCAGTAACACCAGTTTTTCTTCTAATTATTATATTTGATACTCTATCTCTTCCTAATTTATGATCGTGGTCCAGATATTTATAGCTATACACCTGTTCAATTTGCGTGCCGTTAGTTGAGATGTTTTTCACTAGTACAGGGTTGGTCATATATTGTGTTTTGGCAAATTAATTTTTAAGTCCAACTCGTATACACGAGCTCTGAAGGCATTGAAGAAGCTGGCAGGCATGATCTACACGGTTTGCAATAAGGAGTATGTCGTCTGCAAATCTCAAGTTGTTCAGAAATTCTCCATTTATGCTGACTCCAATATTCTCCCAATTATTGTTTCTCATAGCACTCTGCAACAAAGCGGTGAATATCTTAGGAGAGATGGTATCTCCCTGCCTAATACCCTTCTCCAAGGGAAATGTATTTGTGTTGCCATAATACCTTCTAACTGCAGCTATTGCGCTCTTATATATGTTCTGGAGAAGAGTTGTGTACCTATGATCAATACTAAACTCTGTAAGACTCTTAACATGGAGCTATGCTAGACTGAGTCAAACGCTTTCTCAAAGTCTACAAATATTAGTATCAATGGCTTATTGTATTCTGTAACTTTCTCTATTAAGGATTTTATTACTTGAGGTGGTCATTCGTTCCAAAGCCACTCCTAAATCGGGCCTGCTCTAATGGTTGGTGAAAATCTAGCTTAGGTTCCAGTCTGTTAGTAATTATTCTCAAAAAGAGCTTATATAAATGAGATAACACGCTGGTAGGTCTGTAGTTTCCAATTTCTGTTACATCTCCTTTTTTGTGCAATATTATCATGATGGCACTATTCCATTTTTTTGGTGTAACTCCTTTAAAGAGGCAGGCATTATAAAGGGTTTTTAAAGGTTTTATGACACATTCACCTCCTAATTTTAGCATTTCACTTACAATGCCGTCTTCTCCAGGTGATTTACCATTCTTCATACCTTTCAACGCTGATTTGATTTTCTCTTCGGTTATATCTGGAAGTACCTCTAATCCTTGATTTTGTATGGCTGGGATTTCCACTTCTGGAATGTGAGCATCTCGACGATATAATGTTCTATAATACTCTTCGATAATTTTCATAATTTCTTGTTGTTCATATACAGCATGTTCTTGTTTATTTTTTAGCTTATAAATGTTCCTGGTTCCTGTCTTCAACTTTCGTTTTAGAACTTTAAGGCTTTTATTTTGTTTTGTAGTATTAGTTGTTTCTTTAGTGTTAAAATCCCTTATGTCTTTCCTAACAGCTTTTGAAATGGTTTTATTTAAATTCCTCAGCTCTGTGATGTTCACTGTGTGCTTATCTTTCATTCCCCTTCTTTTTTGCATCAGGTTCCTTGTGCCTTCTGTAAGTTTTTCATTTTTCCTTGTTTGCTTAACTTGACAGTTCTTCTGTGCCTTCCTTAGAGCGTCCACCAACCTTTTGTTAAGTTATTCAATATCGGTTTCAATTTGCACGTCAGGCTGAAGGTTTCTATCTATTTCTTCCTGGTATGCCCTTGTGTTAGTAATCGCAGTAAATGTAACATTTTTAGTCCTTGTTACCATATTTCTCCGTTCCTTCTTTACGTTCAAGACTACCTTCGCTCTAACCATTCTATGGTCACTTTCGGTTGAAAATTGATTTAATACAGTTACGTCTTAAACAGCGTCTTTTTTGTTAGTAAAGATAAAGTCAAGTTCGTTCTTGTTTAAGCCATTTGGTGATTGCCAAGTCCACTTTCTTTGGGGTTTTTTTTTAAAATGGGTGTTCATGACATATAGTCTGTGTTGCAGAAGAAATTCTATAAGAGTTTGAACCCTTTCGTTTCTGTGGCCATATCCGTAAGGTCCAAACACAAACTCCGAATCATCCTGCTTGAGGCTTATTTTTGCGTTTAGGTCTCCCATCAGTATGGTATAGTTGGTGGTTATATCTTCTAGAGCAGTGTTAACGTCATCGTAGAACTATTAAACTTCTTCGTCTGTGTGGGCACTGGTAGGTGCGTATACCTGGATGATCTTTAATCGAATTTTTTCGTTTACTTTGTAAATAAGATAAATAACTCTATCACTTATGCTTTTGATTGAAAGTATATTCTTCGTGTGTTTTTTATTTATTATAAATCCGATGCCACCATTAGAAGATTATGAGCTAAAAGTAGACTATACCAAATAAAGTAAAGAATTTTCTGGAAATCATATTTTGTTTTAAAGGTTATTTATTAGACCACCTAGCAGTTAAAAAAATTTGATTTTTGGTTGTCACCTTTCATAGATTCCTAAAGGTTTGACTTTCCAGTTGTTCTTTATTTTGAGTTTCCCGTAACTGCTATTGATATATCTCCCACCTCTAATATGCGCAGTTTAACGAAAGATCTGCGTCGGCGTCACGATGCTAATTCCGTCAATCGTCCCAAAAATCGACTCGATTATTCTTAGATTCCGGCAATGTTTACCTTTTAATCAAATTAAAAAAGAAATCTAGCTATAAAAAGAAGATGGATTATCGATCGACATCACCTCAATCGTCCGAACCCTTTTCCGACGAAATGGATACGGCTTCCGTAAAAGAGAAAGCGATTTTAAACAGGTCAGTGCCAAAATTTAACAACAACTTTAAGGCGGGCTATATGCCAGTGGAAAACATTAAACCGGGTATGAGAGGAAGAAAAACGTTTGCTTTTTGGACTTTGTTGGTGTTACTGTTTATTTTAGTTATTGGAAATCTCATTTTGACGGTGACGATAATTGGAGTACTGAAATTAGGCCATGGTAAGTTTTGTTATTGTTTTTATAAAAACATATTTGAATAATTGAATATAATATTGATTTTATTGAAATCCATTCATGTTGAAAGAACTTTTATTGTTTATTTTATTGTTTTTAAATATTGTGACGAAATCAGTTTTGATCGGTTACTATTAATATTGAAATAGTAGAAAAGAGTGGTCAAAACTGAAAAAGTTTTTAGTCATTCGAGATTTTTTCGCAATTTTTTCCAAATATATTAAAAACAAAAAAATAATCCTGTAAATTGGACTTTATTTTATAAAAATATACAACAGATTTAGATTTTAATTTTCAAACAAAGTGTAAAAAAAATCTTTTTGACGTTGCAAAGTGCCCCACAGTGGTCCACACTGAGACACAAAGTGGTCCACAACGAGACATTGTTCATTGAACATGTAGTGCGCCAAAATTGACTTCGAACTGAACACAATTATTTTGCTTCTTTGTTTTTCCATATAACACTGGTACAGGTAAAATCCTCACAATGTCTTGCGATAAAACACTAGCAACTTTAGGAACGTTTGGATAAAGGAACTTGTTCGATTTGTTTGTTGTTTGTAATAAAATCTTATCCTAAATTCCTACTGATACTAATCCTACTACTACTAGTATTGATCTCTACAGATAAATAATCTCATATTCGAAATCATCGGAAAAATTAATCCAACAAAATATTTTACTGACTTTTTGCTTGCGAACTTTACAAGAACATAGTCATCAATGATGATCGTCAATGCATTTCTATCCAGTTTAACGAATCCTGTTATTGGAGCATCAAGGTCGGCATCATATTCAGATGAGCTGTTCAGGGATTCTGCTTGGTCACTTAAAGAACTATTTTCGGATTCGATAAATCGTTTTTTTACTATCTTAGCTCTAGGTTTGCGTTTTTCAGCGTTCTTTGTTTGAAGATCAATTTTTTCTGGACTGTCTGTTGGAATGACATTTTTTCCGCGTTTTCTGTTCTGCACTCGTTTTCTTGGAGCGGCTTTGAGGTAGCCTCGAAACTCTTGAGGACTCGAAAATAATTTTGTTGTTATGACCGTTGCTTCAGAATCATGGTCAATAGTAAGTGTTGTTATCACAGTATTATGATTCGAAGCAGGATCCTTTTTCCATGTTTGTCATTTGTGCAGGAATCTGAAACTAGAGATTCGATAGTACCATTTGAAGATGTTGACTATTCAGGCCGATCTGTGGCGGAACTAGGAAGAAAATCTTCTTGTGCAAAAACATTTCTATCATAAGGGAAAATACCCGATTTACGGAATCCTGATATTAATCGGAATCATTGAATGCTGAAATGCACTTGTAACTCCGGGATGGTGCACGAGCCAAGAATCGACAGCTATATTATAGTGTGCCTTAAATGAACAATAAACGCCAACATCTAATGGTTGTAGTTTATTATTGTAGTTAAAATAGTCACTCCATTGTATTTGGCTTAATCCAAACATTCAATTGAATGATGACTGCCGTGGTTATCGAACAACAAAAAATTTGGATTTTCGATTAAGGAATTTGTATGGTTTATGAAATGACGCATAACTTCCACAAATAACTCGCTGTTCGTCCAGCTCGAAGGTGTTGCAAGTGATAAAATATCAGTATGCATTACTAAGCATATACGATTTAAAATGAAGCCTAGGAAATATAATAACTGGTGGAATTGTATTTCCTAAGCACTGATGAAGCAGCAGGTCATTACTAAAGACCCTCTTTCGGCACTAGTTACTTGACTTACTTGTGTAACTCCTTTGCAATATTATTTTGAATATGAATATTATTTTTTGAGCCATTTCGCATTCTAAACGGCGACATTCAAGAGTTGTTAGGCTGTAGTGCATTTTTGAGCACATTCCGAGGTATTCTGCCAATGCAAATTCTTGTTCTTTAGACATAATTTGAAGGTATTTATCGAAAGGCCTTATTTTCGTTTCGGTATCAGGGTTATTCCTTAATTTTTTTACTTATCTAAAATAGAAAGATTATTGTTTATTGAAAAAGAACAAACTTTTACGCGAAACCTAATCAATCCTTAATTTATTTACAATTTACCTTGCTAAAATCTGAAATGACAACCGCTTCAGTTCTGCTGCTTTTTGAAATGAAACTCCTTCTTTTGTGACTAAATCCACGGCATATCTCATTTTACTATCAAAAAAAGAAGCAATGTTAATCTTTATTCCTCTATTCCTTGCCATGATTTACAAAAAAAGAAAAAAATAGTATAAGTTTGTATTATCCAACTAATGTTCTCGATGGGGTACAGTGAGACGCGTCTCAGTCTATCCCACTAAGGATTGTCTCACTGTACTCCACAGGTGCAATTTCACCAAAGTATGATATTTTTTCTAAATTCGACAAAATAAAAATAATATCGCTACATAGTTACATGCAAACTATGTAGCATAACATAACAATCAAAGTGGTTCATAATCCACGTTTCACTGGCATGCATAACTGGGTTTGATTACTGTCTCGCAGACTCGCAGTTTAGCTGTTCTTGACACTTCGCTTCATTAATCTTTTGTCTTTCTCCGTATCTTTTCGCTTCTTCTTCAAATTTCTGAAAAACCTTTTCTAAATGTTTTTTTTGTTCTCGCTTATATCACCACATCATCCGCGTACGCTATGCACTGTTCCCTGCTATTGAAAATAGTCCTGTTTGTGCTTATATTTGATCTTCTTACGATTTGTTCTAATAACAATGCAAAACCGAATACTATTGGTCGATGTAAGAAACAATATAATTACTTTCGGGAGCAAAAATCACTCTACCAGCTGACACGCAAAAACGAACAAGCGAACTAAAGCCTGAAGCTAAGATTTGCTGGTAGACTCTACGTGTCGAGAAAACCTTATGGTGGGGATAGGTTGCAAAGCGCTGTTGACATGCCCTCAGAAAATGCATTGTCTCACTGTGGTACATTTGTCCCTATGGACCACACTTCCCTACCCGAGACCTGTACTACAGCATGATGTGTGAACAAAGGTGATAATTTGAAATAAACAGTTATTAGTTATAGACGGAGAAACAAAGACAGCTTTTTATAGGTTTCCTATAAAAGTTTAATCCTGTGGATTGACCCTGGCCATTCGATGCATAATTTGGTTTTGTCATTTGTTTGAAATATTTAATAATGGTTTTTGCACAAGATTTGGAGCTGAATATGGAGGAGAAACTTGAAAAACGGCTTAAGCCTTAGTATTAACTTTTCTTAGATATATTTTTAACCTATGTACTGCTCCGATAACGTACCTTTTTCAATATTTGCTAATTCGTTGCTAGAATCACTAACGTATTTACTATAAATTTATCCTTCACCGAAGGATCTTTCCCACAACTCTAAAGATGTTCATTACCTTCCTATTTTTAAAAAGGACTACAGTTAATTGCCCGAAAACAATCATCCTATATAGGTTATTGAGTATGATCAAAAAACTACGGCTAAAAGGAAGTACAGCGTTAAAAGAGTTTTATTGTTTCATATAGTCAATGGAATCTCCTTCTCAATGGAATAATGCAGTCATTACTTTATTACACAAGCAAGGAGGCATATCAGATTTAAAAACTACCCTCCTATCAGTTTGCTTAGACACATATATATCAACTTTTCACAAAAATTATCAAAAAAAGACTGGACGCTAAATTAGACTTCTATCAGCCTAGAAAACAAGCTAGATTTAGATCGAGATACAGTACTAGTAATAAAGAACCTAATAGAGAAGTCTGCAGAGTACAACAAACCATTGGCACTAATATGTGTCGACTACGAGAAAGCATTCGATACCATAAGCCATCAGAAAATGTTAAAAGCATTGACAGAATGCCGAATAAACCATCGCTACACTAACATAATTAAACATATCTACCAAAATACCACAGCTAGCGTAATGCTGGCCACTCACTTGCGGATATCGAAGAGGCGATGGCATTCATGCCGCGACTGAAGGCCGTTATCGAAAACCGACCCATACGAGTTGAGGTCGTTATCCGACGACCATTTCCTTCAGTTAAAAATCTCTAAGAAATCGCAACTCTTCACCATACACAGTGCAGTTATCGAAGAGAAAACATGTTTCTCCCGCGAAAAAGGCATGTGCTTTAATAATTGTGCTTGAAACGCAACAGAAAAAAAAGAGTGTACTGGGTTCAAGACTGGCTGATGAAAAGGAATAGGTTATCCCACATGTCACTTATGGCACAATTAGAGCTTTCCTATACGGACGATTACAAAAACTATTTAAGAATGGACGAAACATGATTTTAAACATTACTTAAATTAGTGACACTTTTAATTAAAAAACAAAACACTTAAATGAAAAGTGCAATTACTATGGAAGAAAGACTAACTGCAACATTAAGGTTTTTGGCAACCGGTCGCAGTTTTGTAGACATGAAATATACAACTTTAATTTCACCTCGAGCGTAGGGGTTATAATTCCGGAAAATACATTATTTATTTTGCTGCTCACTGTATCCTGAGATGCTTCAATATTAACTGTTTTATAAAGGTTTATTAATTTTTGATACGCTTTCTCTCTAAGGCGAATCCTCATTCGCGAAAGATTTATCTTTAACCTTCCATAGGCAAGGGTGTGATTGATAAATATCAATGAATTAACGTAAAAATTCGGGATTATTTGCACTTTTGTTCGTCATGTTTGTCTAACAATGTCAGTTAAGTTAATGGACTGCAGATGAGATGTCACACACGTGCAGTTTCGATAAGCGAGCGCGTGGATGCCTTTACGATAACTGCGTGTATGTGACGATTTTGGCCTTTAGTTAAGGGCCTGTCAGTCGCCTGGCCTCTTCGATATCCGCAAGTGAGTGGCTAGCTTAAGACTATCCGAACAAGAAACCAATAAATGCTGTATACAGCGAGGAGTACGGCAAGGTGACACAGTCTCTCCAAAGTTATTCACGACGCTTTTAGAACATACTTGTAAGAAGGCACATCTGAACGAGCATGGTA